GTTTTTTTTTTTGTTTTTTTTTTGTTTTTCGTCCTATGTTGTCCTCGTCGACGCACACGTTTTGGTTGCTCCTTTTCCAACTTTTCACCACAAAAATAGGTAAGAAAGGAATTCTGGAACATGAGTTTGTATACTGCAGGAAATTATATATACGTAATTTTTACTTCTATGTTGTGGCGCTACAAAAGAATTAATAACTCTCAACCACGGCGATGTAACTACTATTGGATTTAGTCTTTATTTCTATTGTAATCACTATATAAATGATCCAGTGAGCGATGCCAGTGTATTTTCAATTAGCATTGAGCTGACTTGACTAATACAAGCTCTAATAATACAACTCTTGATTTAAATACAAGGAAAGCGAGGATATCTTCCTTACAATTTAAAGTAAACCTATGACGCAGCGTTAACTACGATCACTAGTATAAAAGCTTCATCCAGTCATGTAATCCAAAAAAAATTATCATTTTATAGTCATTGCTAATTAAAATACTTYAAATTTACAGCTTGCTAAACGACTTCCTGTTTTGCGAAGCATATTTTGTAATAAAAGCGAGATATATGGATTTACGAATTATTATTCATAATTTCAATATTCCGCATAATGACATTCCAATTTATGGAAATGTTTTTAACTTCTGATATCAAAGTTATATTTATGTGAAATAAAGTCATTGAATTTACATGAATGGAGCTTTGGATGGTTTCGCAAACTCGAACGATTTTCTTTGGAATATTTTGGTCTGCTAACATAATACAGAGGGAACATGTAATATGCCACGTCACAAGGGTAAACTGACAATATGGCAACCTGAAATTTAGAATAATGTCTTAAGACTATAGACGTTTTGCATATTACTAAAGGCTTTGCATTGCATTATAAAACCACAAAAAAATCATACAATCCATAGCAAAAAAAAAATTACGAATGAATCTTACTACAATACCCATACTTCTTAATGATTTGCATGTACAAACTTAATAATAAAGTTTTTTATTAATTTGATTTTACAGTATTTTGCACAATAGTTGGGCATACAAGGCTCCAAGATCTCGTGGGTAACGATGTAATTTTTAAGTGGAACACGACAGACGGCAGGGAAATTCTTTCAGCTGTGTGGGGGTTAGGCAATGGTCAAATGGCTGATCCCCAGTTTATCAATGTGAATACGAAAACTGGGAAAACAATTTCTCCCTCATTGCCCAAGCCATACACTGGTAGAGTAGATTTCGTTGGTAACCTAAGCCAAGGTCATGCTTGGTTTGTGATCAAAAACCTGACAAGTAATGATACCGCTGAGTACATTGCAAGGATAAGTGATGGTGATGTCTCGGAACTACATTCATATTCTGTTGAATTGTCAGTGAAAGATGGGTCAGGTTAGTATTGTTGGAAATATCAGACAATCGACTTATATTGTCGACTTATATTGTCGTTCACGTGGGATAACCGCGGTTTAAGGCGTTTTGGGATTCCTTTGTTAAAAGCCATGCCAGGTTTCTGAGTAAGATTCGACTAGTTGATATACTTTGCCGCAATAGCTGCAAGTTTTAATTCATACTTTCGTATATCTATCAAAAAGAAATATATGTGCACTTCCAGATTAGGGAAAGCTTACCAAATATGGACATAGATCTGATCATGCGCTTTACAAGTGTTAGATATTGAAGGGTTACCCTATCCGTAGTATATGTAGGATACACCGCATGGGGTCCGTAGGAATCCTACCAAATCTAGCCAATGAACTACTCTGTTTGGTTTACGTCATAATCTTACTTCATAATCTGTTATTGACATACCAAACTCAGCGTTGTTCACGTGTAGTACTAAAGCGAAATGTCAAAAGCCAAGAAAAAAAGCAATTTTAAAGGACGTAGTCCTAATGTCGAGCGTT